TTGTTTCAATCTAAAAGACTACGAAAATGTTGCAAAAAAATAAAACAAATAGTAGTATTGATTTAATAAGAATTATGTTTATCTTAGATTTATACTGAATATTTTATGTAGCTATATTCAATACGAGAGCAATATATAAAACGAGAAACATTTATTTTTGTATTGATATATGATATTGATAATTTTTATGACTTATACTGAATTTATTACATCATGATTATAAAAATGAAACGCCAAACTGTTTCTACATCATACGGATTTTTAGTCGAATAAATAGAGAAAGATCAGTTAGTATGGTACTGTAGTATAATATTGATGTTAGAGGAGAAAAAAAAAGAATCATTAGTTTCTAGTACGTACTTATTTGAAGGTAGGAAAGAGTATGCTTTTATGCACATAGTGTTTAATAGACATTGAATACGTATATAATATGTGTGACATAAACGAACCTTATACAAAAAAAAAATGATGACTACATATGCGTTCTCTTCTTTCATGGGATTTCATGCGTGAAAATCATACGAAACAAGTCATTGTTTTTTATATAAAGATAATATATTATAACAGAAGTGTACAACAATAGATGAAATTTCAATAGGTACACTGACAATCATGCTATCAGAAATTCTTTCAAGCAAGTACTGGATATCATGACAATAATATTGTCACTATAGAAAAATAAATGTACTTTTATTCACCTCTCGGTATTTTTTTTTCTTCTTAAAGCAATGGTGTCAAGACACTCCTTTCGGCTACAAGTCTGTGCAACTAGTTAAATACAGGAAATAAAAATTGACTAATAGGAAAAATTGTATGCTTTGTACATAATATTAGAATGAAAAAATCGAGTATACGGACTGATTTGATAAGTTAATCAGGTTTTATGATAATTATTGTAGCCTCATGTTAAAGATGTCATGACAGTCTCATTTTCACTATACATCAATATGAGATCTGAAATATTGAACTAACATTCGAAATTTAGTTTTCAAACAGTTCTTCATTTCTTTTCATTTGATTGAAATAGCAAAAATCTCGAAAAAATAATTATGAAAATGATGATGAGCGTTAAAAAACGATTATAGAATTCGTACAGAAGTAAATATTTCGAAGGTAAATGATGCACAGTTCAGAAATAATTAAACATGTTGGTCATTTTAAACATTAGAGGATCAATAAATCAATTGTAAATAGTCTTCAAACCGACGCTAAATCTCATAGACATCATCGAAACAAAAAATGGTATGAAAATCATATTTCGACGTGTATTTCAAAGAATTTTCTTCATTTAATTTGTTGGATCATAGACTGTAGAATGAGCTTATTGAATCTATGAACAGAAAACTTTTTCGAACAAATACAGCGTCAATACACAATTCAAATGTGATGTCAGTAAAATCGAAAAAGACAGAATTTTGTATGTTGTATGTTTCACTGAAAAACATCTAAATGAATACATCTGTTGAAAAAACATGTACAAGGAACTTTTAAATACCATCATCTTACGTTTCTTGATGACCATTATCTAGCGCTGATAGTATATAGAAGGTTTTAGCGCTCACCAATCCAATATCCATAAATGAATCAGTCTTATATGCTAGTAACAACATTTCAAATTCTATATGATGAAACTAGTCATATTCGAAAGAATCTTGTTAACACCATAAAAACAATATTAGCTTTTCAAACATGATAGATATCTTCATTTCTTAGATGATACGAGCTACTTCCTCGATGACTTTTAACTAACATATATCCATACTACTTGATCATGTGAATAGCATCTGAATAGGTGAATTTTACATTTTATTCATTCGAGTGATTTTTATTATTATCTAATAACATTTGACTGCTTGTGTTAAAATTATCAGATACAATAGCTATCCTAACTGAGTAAATAATGGAGAAAGATGATACAAAATAGATTACGGACAAGCTATTCATTTAATAAAGCTCGATTTCAATTGTGGATATATAAATCTCCCATTCATACTCTCATCGAGTCGTACAAACCAATAAAGCAATAGTTAGTTATCATGACGTTGAATACGTGTCGAAAAGAGAGATGGGCTCGGTGTGTATTAATTGTAAAGTCTTAGTGATTACAGTACTCAAGCATTAATCAAACCATGAACAGTTATCAACCATCGCTAAACAAAACTAAAGGACCTCTAAGAACTCCCCGATTGTGTGTGAGTCGGTTTATGAATGTGGATCTTCTGTTCATCATAAGGCACAATCCCACCGAGATCCGCATCAGTACTAACATTCCACACTTATCCAAACTCCAGCAATGGCCACATCCACAGCTCCCAGTCACACTTCAATCCTGGATTCGCCCTGATACGCACACCCACAATAACTCAATTGGAGTGGCGAACTTTTTCTCTCACGAGGAAGTATCAAATCATTCATTGTTTTTTTCTTCTTGCCAATAATTTCCAAGAAGATTATGTCTGTTTATATTTGTTGACTAATATACTACCGACACAGAAGAGTTACTATCGCTTCATCATAAAAGAGAAAAAAATCACATTTTCTTTTCCTTTAAAAAACTCGATAAGTAATTGAAAAAATGGTATTTTGTTTACGGAATGATTCATTTCAATAGACGCAATTTATAAAGTGTCATCAATCAATGCTCTTTCAGTTTATCCTGAGTTTCATTTAACAATATAGCATACGATTTGATTCATCGTTGCAAAATACATTCTTTTAAAAAATTTGTTCTTTGAGAAAAACGTGCCAAATAATCATGAAGCCTTATATTTTAACTTATATGGTACTTATTAATAGTCTAATAGTTGTATCAAAAACGATGACGGTTCTTAATGAAACAACAAGTACTAAACCGATGGAAACAACAAGAAAATCCATAATTTCAAATTCCTGCAGTGGCGTTGTTACTATCACATGTTATTCATCAAGTCAATGTGGTTCAAAAGGGCAATGTAATTCAAGTACATATACTTGTGAATGCTCAAAAGATTATACAACAGGTAATCGAACAGCACCATGTGAATATGAACAAAAATAAAAAATAATACCGATATGTTTATCTGTCTTTTTTGGTATTTTTGGTGCTGATTGGTTTTCTTTGAGTGCTAGTAATAAAGGATATATTGTTGGTGGCGTTTTCAAATTATTAACAGAAGGTGGAGGTGGTATCTGGACAATTGTTGATTGGATACGTCTTGGAACTAATCATTTTCCTGACGGACAAGATATACCATTAGCATAAAAAAAACTTTTTTCTATCTGAAATGGACGCATAATGCCAAATGTTGTTTTTTCCCACCTCTTTTTTTTTATTATAAGCTTTTGTTTCCATTACTTACTCATGCTTATTTTATTTTATATCTGTACAATTTTATTAGCTAAGAATAAATTTTGTCTCAAGAAAAAAAGTAGTAAGTAATATGGAATAAAAATGATGATGATTTATATACTGTAAATATGTGATATTTTATTCGCATACAAATTCAAACAATATTCATTGAATATTTCAATATATAGGGTGTCTAGTAAGTCACTAAACAAAGTAACATTTGAATATCTTCGCTATAATTTGACCATATGGGCTGATATTTTTACCACTGAAACAAGACTGTTCATAGTTCCCATTTATAAGAGAAATGCTATCAAAAATCTTTTTTGAAATATTTAGAAATGATTTTGACAAAGAATGGTAATCTTTCACAGGTTATGCAAAAATAATAAATTTATTTCCTTAGTTAAGAATAAAGAACATTTAATTTTTTCAATTAGTTGTTCACACTAGTTTCGCTCGGGCTCATATTTATAATACAAATATATGTCTTGTCACTTAGTATGTCCTAAAACTTTCAGTTACAAACATCAAGGATCTGTTGACCAAACTACAATATTAAGTTTTCATAACTCGTGAAATGTTGTAAATCTTTTGTTGAAACCAATTGTACTAATTAAAAAGCAATATTGGAGAACACTTTCCTTATAAATATGAACTATGAACAGTTCTTTATCAGTGATGAAAATATCAGCTCATATGGTCAATTTATGGCGAAGATATTCAAATGTTACTTTGTTTAGTAACTTATTGGATACCCTATATATAATCATGCTTGTATAATTGTAATTTTGTTTAGCGATCACTGTAGGCTTCTAGAACCAAAGTTGACATTGTTTTTTTTATACAGAAAAAAAGAATACTACCGACTTTTTCTCTTCATTTATCCTGTTCATAGTCCATTTTCAGTTTGTACAAATAAGAATATCAAATCATGAGTTCAGAAATTTTTTTATATCCATCAGCTGTATTTTTAGTAGAAAAGCATTGCTAGACCCAAAAAGTATGACCTATTCTGAATCTATATTATCAGTACTCGTCAGGTAACGGCGGCAACAACAGAAATACGCTTATTCGTATGTGAATCAATGTTAATGGCCAGATAAGACATATCTTCACACCTGAATTTCGTGATAAAAATGTAACGTTGAAGTCTCTAGGTTCGCATGGACATGCTGACGTAGGAAGAAAATTAAGAAAAGACTGATATCTATAACAATAGAGTAAGATAAATGAAAGTTGAATATTTCTTTCATTAACTATAACTCGTATACTCGAAAAAGAAGGAGAATGAAAGAAACTACTATTGACATTATAATTTTGTTTAGGCGATAACTTTGCCTAGGCAAATAAAAGACACACTTTCAAATCTCAGTAAGTATGATAGATACCTAGGAGCACAAGTAAACAACTTTTACGAATGACAGTCACTTTGTAACGATAGAACGACAGGAAATAAAAATAGCTTGCCATAAATGTCTAAACCTCTTTGTAAATAATGTATTGATTTTATCGTACTACTTCATTTCTGTGCAAAGTAATGTCCCAGATATGAAACTCTTTGTCGTCAATAGTATTATGGTTTCCATATCCATTAATTAACGATTCATACTATCAACCGAAATAAGTATCGAATGGTCCGATTTTATGTCAAGGTAATGGCGAAGAGGTAAGCTGCAAAATATCCTCCGATCCAATGTTTGGACTTTCGACGTAGGCCAAATCTTTGTGCACAATATGTTGTAAAATTTGTAGTGCAATGTATTTGAGTATCATAAATTAATTTTGTGGAATTAATGATGAAAATTGTAGAAAAAAATGACGAAATACTGTAATCTCTAAATAAAGTTTGAAATCTACGTTGAAAACGATTAAACGCATTTAGAAAACTTTCAAAGATTTTTCTACAAATACATCTAAAGAAACATACGAAACATTCGCAATTTCACCCAAAACTTATACATTGTTGAACGAATCTGAAAGACTTTCATACAAAGACTCTTCTACTCTGTAAAAAAAAGGTCGTCATGCTGACCCTGTTAGGATTCTTGATTTCGGTATTATTTTCTGAACTTTTCTAATTTCTAATCGAGAGTCTAGAGATTAAGAAGGTTTTAGCCAGAATGAATGAAACTTAAAAGAATTCAAACAATGGTATCGAGGTGTACGAGCCAACTTTAGCTTGAAAGCTTGGGAAAATGGTCGGATCTTGAGAGTAGGAATACTATGTTCGGATTCAATGACTGATTTTTACTATTTCCGAGAATAAGCAATCACAACAGAAAGCAACTAGTTGCTGATATAGGCATCGTATCTCATCTTCCAAATCAAACCAATTAGCGGATTCTTTCGAACCATGTTTGTCGTGAAACTTATCGGAATCGAAGGTCAAAATTATTGACCCAAGATAATATCAGAGAACCTTGATAGGTTTAGTGAATGTGTCGATCCATTTTCAATTCAGAGTGCAAACGTATTTTTAGAGATTACAGCATATTCTTATTATTAATGCGCATATATATTGTACTATGAAATGTAGCAAAATTTGCTTCGCAAATATTTATCTGAAATGGTCGTTCTACGACGAAAATTTGATCACTCGCGGATCGATTATTGTTCGAATCAAAAGTAAAAGACTCAAAGGATATGGCTACGTAGAGATGTACACCCATTGTTCTATGACTTTTGTTGTTTTCTTTTTTCTCTACATATTATATATTATTCTCATATGGTCATCCTAGCATTATTTCATTTTGTTTTCTTCGTTGTATGTTCTCCTTTTCTCTTATTTGTATGTATAGAGATTTTCCTTCTTGGTTGCTCATCTTCTATGGAATTTTCTATACCATGAATTTTTTTCTTTTGTTTTATAACTATATGTAGTTGTCATTTAATTCCAACCAACTAAAGAAGAAGAATTAGAATCAAATCTAGCAGATGCTAGATAGAAAGAAAAACTATTGTGAAACATAGGGAGATTTTTCGCCACAAAGTGTATCTTTACAGTCCCTACAAAATTTGTCAGTATTAGTATTGATACGCAGACATTTTTCTAATACTGACGACGCGGCGTCAATATTTTACTACCGAACACTCAATACATAAATTGGGACTCGCATCGCAATGACTAGGCGCTATAAAGAGTGCAATTATAGAGCCAAGTATTCAGATAATAGATGTTCGTTTTCTTGTGGTAATTCACATTTTTTGAAGTTTATTTTGAAGAAAATTTCCCAATACTACACAATTTCATTTATTTCTTCATCCGTAGGGATGCGATCGACTATTTTGGTCCTGTATAAACTACCGTTCACTCGTACTCGATTATCTTTTATTGGTCGATTTATTAATACTTATAACACTACTACTCATATTCCATTTCAAACTCGTGTTCATCAACAATGCATTCGTCTATCCAATCTTCCATTGTTATCATCAATAGTAAAATCAGTTCAAAACGATAAACCATTACAAGATTATACAATATTAAATATTCAACATCAACTAGGCGATGTCGCTGCACAAGTCGAAGCATCAATTGTTCTTGGTGCATTACCGATGAATATATATTTTCTTCCCCCATCATATACTCATCACAAGGACTTCGAATCATTTGTAATAAAAAATTATGGAGTTCCAAAAGAAAACTTTTTTCAATCATCATCATATCGTTTACGCTTTGATTATGACAAATATCGTTTACTTCATGTTATATTTATGTTAAATCGACTGATGAAAATGGAATTAATGAAGGAAAGAACTAAACATAATAATTTACTTGTATTAGATGATGGGGGTTGTTTTTCTGAAGCATTGACAACTCTATGTGATATTGATGATGGAAACTTAGATCCAAATGAAATGATTGAAAATCTTCCATTATCATTGAAACTACAACAATCAGATGCAAAATGTCTTATATCATATTTTCGTTCGATTGAAATTCGTCTTGTTGAACAAACGTCACGTGGTTTATTTAAATATGTAGATGAACCAAAAATAGCACTGACATTACATAAACTTGGAATATCTATTATCGATGTAGCATCCAGTGAACCCAAAAAAAGACTAGAACCTCCTATTATTGCTGAAGCTTCTCTGAATATGTTATCATATTTATTTTATGATGCACCAAAGCATTTACAAATTCCGAAGCCATCCAAATTACAACAGTGCTTATTGCTTGGTTATGGAGCTATTGGACAAGCAGTTGGTTATGCTTTAACACATAAGGGAGATTTAGGAATGTTTTCCAAAAGTTCAGTCAAAGTATGGGATCGAGATATTATTAAATGTAAATTAGCCGAAGATGATGGTTTTGAAATATTTGATCAGTGGGATAGTAAAGAAGAATTCGATTATATTATTGGTTGTGCTGGTCGTTGCTCATTACCAATATCATCTTTACCATTATTACGTGACAATTCTTATTTGATAAGTGTATCATCGGCAACTATCGAATTTCCATTTCATGAAATGGTTGAATGTGCATTATTCAATGACAGTTATGCTAAAATATCAATAAGCTTATCTCATGGACAAGTCGATGAATTAGATAATGAAGATATTCATCGTAATATAAAATTTCAAATTGAAAATGGACGATTTTTAACTGTTGTTAACGGTGGAATGCCTATTACATTTTTAGGATTTTTAAATCCAACAATACCAGAAAAATTCGATTTAACAGTGAGTTGTATGATAGCAGC